TATATATATATATATATATATATATATACTGTATATAGTAATTTTAGTAACTAAATTAAAATGAGAAAACAAAATGAGAAATTAGTTTAAATAAAAAGTTTTTTTAATATATATTTTATTTTATATAATTTCAAGTAACAAAAGTTCAACAGCTTAATAGAAATATAAAACATTAAGCACATATACTGAGTATATGAAAATTAGAGACAAATACAAAATATTAATAAATAAATACTATAATAGTATATAAATAATTAAGAATATATGTGTCAGGGTTTTGGACTCATCTGCCTGTGTTCCCTTCCTTTTTGCCCATATATGGTTAGTTCCTGTTCTGGTCAGCTCATCTTGTTTCAGTTTATTGTCTAATTATTAGTTAACCCTCCTCACCTGTGCCACCCTCGTCAAGTTCCCTATTTGAGTTCCCCTTTGAGTTAGTTTAAGTTGTCCGGTATTGATGTTGGCATCACATCTCATGTGTTGGATGTTCTTCTCTGTATGGATTACCCTCATCTTCCCTTGGATTTACATTAAAGGATTTGAGATTGTCTTCATTGTCGTATGCTCTTTTCCTCTAAGTGTGACAGAATACCGGACCAATAAAAAGTTTAGCAGCGATCTACCCTGCATTTTATTTGTTCGTTTAAATACAGTGGGTTTTTTTTACCCCCCCGCCTCCCCTCCCCCGATTTGGATCACGTAGAACTCTTATGTTCTGTTTACCAAGACGGCCATCCCCTGGAGGAATATGTCTCTGAATTCCTCACCTGCTCTCAGCAGGCTTCCCTCGACCTGTGGACGCTTATGGACTGTTTCTGGGGTGGTCTGGATAAGGGGATCACAAAGCGGATGCCACTGGGTGGGTCCAGGTGGACCCTGCCCGATTACATCAACCTGGCCCGGTTCCTCAGTGGATCTCATCTCCTCGCCGCCAGCCCAGAAGCATCACCCATTAAATCTATCAAGCCCCCGTCATCACCCATCATGGCCATCAGCCCAGAGCCCAGTCTACTACCACCCCGCTGCGCGGAGCCCTTGCAAGAGCCCACCGCAGACGGAGAGCCATTTCCCGCCACGATTAACGAGCCAGCGCAGTGCAGAGCCACTGAGCGGAGGATCGCCCCGGAATCAGAGCCCGGCTAGAGCGCCCCCTAGCGAGAGAACAGCAGTGGAAAAGGAGGGAGCTACAAGCAGCTCTGTCCACTGCAGCACCTCTGAGGGTGGGCTAGAACTGGACTCCGGGATTAATCTGGATGAATTTGCATAATCTGCATATACGCCTGATCTTCTGCCTCCTGATGAACCTTTTGAATATCCCAAAATCCCACCCAACCTCCCTCTCCCACCACCTCTTCATCCATCCTCACCGCTGTCACTGACAGCCCCTCAGCTCAGCTCACCTCACCTCCGCCTCCAGCCTCCGAGT